CAGAACCCCAGATATATCCTATAAATATATACTCATAAACTTATAAAATTATTTTGTTTTATAGTTTACATAGACCCTATAAACATAAGGAATTTTGCTCCCGATGATAGTTACATGAATTTGTGAAAATCATTTAAAGCCACACAGGTGGAGAATGTTTTCCTTCATTAGGGAACCATAAATTCTTTGTCTAAAACTCAGGTTTGTTTACTGTCATGTTATTTGCTCAGTTATTTATGATTTATGACTAGTAAATAATACTTGGTGGAGCAAAAGTAGGTTTACAGTTGTTCATCTGGAAAATACAGTAATAAATAATAAAACAAGAATAAACTATGTGTTTCGCCTACTCAAAACTATAAACCTATTTTTGCCCCACCCTGTATATTCATTTAACTATAAGTTCAGAGCTTCTTATAGTTAAATAAGAAATATTTTTAGATTCTTACCCCTGTTGGGGAATTATAATTAGAAACAAAATCTTCTCCCAACCCAGGAATTCTTTTCACAAAAGTAGTAGAGAAAGAAAACACTTTTATTATTGAATAAGCATTGAGCCAGAGTGTGGTGTGCATCTCAGGCAGCTCACTAAAGGTTTCAGAGACAAAGGAATCTCATCCCCTTATGTGGGGAAGGTGATGCAACCTATTACATTCCTGTTTTCAAGATAAACAGTAACTAGTCGTTAAGTAAAAGGCTTGACAGCACCTTATGCCACACCTTATAGTTCATACTAAATTTACCTGTTAATTGGGGAGACCATCTGTGTTAGCTAATTGGCCTTATCCAGAAGAGAAATCAACTTTCATATCTTTATGACAGGACATAGTTTTGCAGCTTGGAGCAGGTACCCACCCAAGTTAGGATCCTACCCTGCCACAGAAACTGGGAGGTGGGGCAACATCTCCTCTCTTGATGTTTACATTTCAAAGAAATGACTCTAAGAAAAAGGAGGGGAGGGAAATAGGTTTCTTTAAATAGGGATAATTAAGCCTCTTATTTTAAATTTATATTTGCCCTTACTCTCACTTTATTTTCTTCTATCTTAAATATAAGGACCTTGATTTTGTTAATCCCATAGTAGTACTATGATAAAGTGACTTTAAATGCATCTGTATTTGAATTTAACCCAATTAAAACTAAATTGTAATAAAAAGTAGGATTTCTTAAGTTAGATTAGTGGTATCAGGAATTCACCATAAGATAATGTGACTAAATCAGCATTTTAATAGCTGCTGGACAGTGTGTGATGTTGAGCAGCTTATAACCCTGAAGCCAGGAAATAAATGATACAAAGATGACCCTAAGCAGAGAATTGGATAAAGAATCTTCTTGGGGGGAAAAAGTATTTGTCTTCTGAGGTCATAAGTTTTTTGTGTTTTTTTAACTAACAGTTAAAATTTTAAATTTTCTTTATTGTTCCTCAACAAAATCAGGGGCACCTACAGTTTGATTATCATTTTTATAGTGATAAGTTACATAGTTCTGTTCAGAGAATTCAAATCTAGCCAAGGGTTCTTTTACTTATATCTTGATTTGTTTTCAGTCCCCCTCACCCTTGTCCAAACTTGATGGGTTTCCCCTCCCTAGGCCGACTGGCCCCTATGTGCAGATGAGTTCCCTGTGTTCCTGTGGAATGCTCTTCTGGCCGTCCACCATCTCCATGGTGCCTTATCAGATGCTGAGCCCCACTTTATGTACCCACTGTGCTCAGTATTTGCTCTCAGAGATGTGCTTTTCCATCAGTCACTTCCTCCTTAGAGAGAAACCTGAGGAACCCTCTTAGTGTTCTCCCCTTTGCCTTTATAGTTACAGGCCTACCATGACCACATGGCACACATTCTTGGCTCTTTGGGAATTACATTCTCCCTACTATTCAAAGTCTCACTCGTTTCACAGTGACCCACCACCTTGTTGACAGTTACTTTATAGGCCACATAGTCACCTTGACCAGCCTGGCCTGGTGTCTGCATTGGTCACACACTTTGAACTTTCCCGACCAATACATGCTACATAGTCCTTGTTTCTTCTTGAAAGAAGGGTGCTCCTACCCTTTCAAACCCGTCTCTCTATTTTGGTACAAAGCAGTAGCTGCCTAGCTGAGTATTGTTAGGAACATGTATCCTTTCTCCTTTCCCTGCCCCTCCACTATCTTTGAGTTTTGTTTTTTGTTGTTTTTTTTACAATATTGCTTTCTGCCAGTCTCTCAAACATGACTGTGCTGACTTGAGAACAGCCTTTAACTCCATCTTCTATGCTGTGTGCAAAGAATATCACCATTTGGAATGTTGGAACTGTGACTGTGCAGCATTTGTAATTTTCCTACTAGGGCTCCGCATAGAAGTGAGAATTGAAAACTAATTATACAAATTGCTAAGCTTTGAAAGATGTTTTTTTCAGCACGTCTGCCTCTGGGATATGTATTCCACAAAGAGTACTTGTGACTAGCAAGGATTTAGTTAGAAATTCAATTAATACGAAAGCCATCCCCATACTTGAATGTTAAACAGATATCAGGATTTTTTGAACCACAAGCCTTAGATGCTCATTGCAAAGTAAGCTAAATGTCTCATGCCACCAGTTATTTTTTAAGAGATATGAAGCAAATTAGAATTTAAAGATAATGTCTAACACCAGGAAAAATCTTGGGGGTTTTTTCTCATTAAGATTTAAAAAGTGTTATCTGTTATACATAGTTTAACTGGTGATAATTATGTCCTTTACTATTTCTGATTTTCCCCTTTGTGTGGCTCTCAGACCTCACAAGTTTATGTCATGCAGTAAGCTGTTCTCTAGGCCTTTCAGTTGTTGAGTTGTTTCACTGAGAGAGAGGACCATGGGTGGCTGGCTGTTCATTAAAGCTCACTGTGCCTATGGAATCACTGTTGTGTATGGACAGTGGGATCTAGACTCTGCCATCATCACACATGGCTGCTGACTCAATTTACAGTACCCTAGAAACCCACAGGGCCTTTTTGAAGATATCCCTACTAGAAACTGCCTAGGTGTGCGATTTGGGTGGACCTCTTGAATTAGAGAAACGTGTGAGCCATAATGCTTACAATTGTGCTTTTTTCACAGCCAAGTACACTGTTGTTAATTAGTAAATAATGGGTTGTTTATCTTGGAATCATTTTTATTGGCAGATGCCTTGAAAAAGTCAAAGCTGTCCATAAATGAAGAATGCCCTCATTGTTTATTCAGCTCCTACTTTTCTATTTAATGTGTTGATATCGTAGGAACATTTTTTTAAAAATATCAAATCACAAGTAAAATTTAAGCAGTATTTTCCCTCCAGAATTTCAAATAGGACATTTAACTATGACCTGTTCTCAGATTCCTCTGATGATTTGGGTGTGTATGTCTGTATGTAGCTGGAGGGGGGAAAGGGCAAAGAGAATGAAGCCCAGAAGTTCGCCATCTAATCTTATCAGTCATAAATAGCTTAAATAAATTCAGGTACATTTCTGGTTGATTGTGTGTCTAATGCAAGTTATCTGCTGAGAATTCAAATAGAAATATGTGCAAAGTGAGAGGAAACAGGGATCACATGGGGAAGGATCAGGAAAGGTTGATGGAGATAAGTGTGATTGTTGATAGAGGATCACCAGGGTATCAAGAGGAAGTAGAGCAAATTATATTTTGTCAAGGGAAACTGTTTGAAGAGTTGTGACGTGATCAGCAGTAGGTGTTCTTGCAAGTGTACTTTGTGTTTAGTAATGCTGGGAGCAATAAAGCACTGTAGGAATGGCTGGGAAAATGGGAATATATCCCAGATAATGAAAATCCCGCACCCTGTCTTTCAGACAGCAATAAATATGTTCATGATATGTAGCTCTGGCAAAGATAGTGGGAAGCTAACCCAGTATTTTCAACCTGTTTCATCTCATGGTGCACATAAACTAATTTCTAAAATTCTGTGGCACACCAAAAATATATTTTTTTGCCAGTCTGATAAAAAAATAAGTATAATTTTGATTCATTCACACTGGATGGCTATTGTGCTGGCTGTTGTCTTTTTTTTTTTTGACAATTTAAGGGAAAAGAGTTCAGTGCCCTGACTAAATAGGCAGGTATTGCATGTTTTAAAAATTCTTGCGGCACACACCGGTTGAAAATCACTGAGCTAAACAATAGACTTGTGATATCTTATGGTTTTGTGTGCTATACGTAAATGTTCTCAATATCTACCAGTCAGGATGAGCCTGACAAATAATTGATCTAATTTATGTAAAGAGAGCAGCTCCTGTTAAGTGTGAAGGATGAGAAGGCTCTATTTTATAATGGCCATTTCATTAGTGATAATTTTCATGTTAGGATGGCATACTGGTAGGACTCAAATTGTGCAGAGACCCTGCATATGTAGAGAGTGAAGGAGAGGTTTAGAATGGGTTTAAGGAACCCTTGCCACTTAGGTGACAAGCAAGATAGAAAACCAGGGGGAGACATTTCTGTCCTGCGTATACCATTGCCTCCTCATTTTGGCATTGTGTCAACTGTTTAATAATGGTGGTAGAACATATATTGCATGAAACTTGGCTGTTTTATTGTATAATATTTTAAAATTATTTTTATGTGGCTATTTGGCATCACTGCCATCTACACCATAAGAGTCAAAGTTTAATTTATGATTATTGGCCAGACAGTAAAACATCTTTTAATGGGGAGCTCAACATCTTGAATAAAACTAATTTATAGTGCTTTACATTATAGAAGGTTGAAATTTTTAATGCTTTGGAGAATGTACACAGAAAACAGTAAAAGCATGTTTTTCAGTTTTATTTGAATTTAAGTATTTACTTACTGAATTTAAGCATTATGAAGTAATAAACAGATAGGATTTATTTTTGAGAACTTGTGTTAGGTGTTTGGAAAACAACAAAGATAGTTTTGATATAAAACAATTCAACTATAAGAGACAGAAAGAGAAATAAAGTGTGTGTTCGGAGTTGGATAGGCATGATGAAGTTAGAAATCCCTTATTCTGTACTATTTTACCTTTTTCAGGTGCTGGTGAATCTGGGAAAAGTACAATTGTGAAGCAAATGAAGTAAGTAGATTTAAAACTTTAAATTTGTATTTTTGTGTTGAAATGTACCCTTCTACCAGAGGAAGTAAGTGTTTTCTTTTTCCTTCTGTCTCCTTAGAATTATCCACGAAGCTGGTTATTCGGAAGAAGAATGTAAACAGTACAAGGCAGTGGTCTACAGTAACACCATTCAGTCCATTATTGCTATCATTAGAGCCATGGGAAGGTTGAAGATAGACTTCGGTGACTCAGCTCGGGCGGTAAGTTGTGAAGTTCCTCGGAGCAGACCTGACGAGTGAAAACAGTAACGTGCATGACCACACCACAACACAACACAGTTATCAGCTACCCCAGGACCATTTTGTAAAAGGAATTGAAGGCTGCTGAGTGAAGTTAGAAGCTTTAGAAATGAGTGAAGTAAGAATATACAGTGTGTAATCTTCCCTTTATAGATAGAATATTCTTATCAGATGACATGGACCATTCACTAGCCATTGCAATATTTTCTGTATATCATGTGACACTGGGCTCCTCCCTGTCTCCGTCACAATTTTGAGTCATTACTCCTGAGTTTAGTAAGCTGCCTACGCTGGCACTCTTCAAAATTTGTTTCTATAATTTGGAATGCTGAAATGATCTAATTATTTGTATCCATGCCCAGACTAAAAAGTAATCTAATCTCATATACTGAAAACAATAAAAGGTTGCATGTCTTTGGAATCTGAAAATACTGGCTATTAGGAAACACGTATCAGAATGTAGAGGTAAGGACAAGGACCTTAGGAGACAAGCTAGTTCCTCTCCTTTATTTTATCAGTAAAGAAACTGGAACCCAGGAGATTACATTATAGAAAGATTGCCACAGATTGGTAGTAACCTAGGCACTATGCTTCTGCTTCCTTATTTGGCCCAGTAACTTATTTCGGTTTGATTGGAAGCAGCTTTGGCCTAACCCATGTGACACTTTCCTTTTCTTCTTTTCACCCATCCCCTGTTTGCTTGCTTAGTCTGTTTATTTCAAGTTTTATTTTTTTATGTGTAGTTTTTTTCTTGACCAATATATTTTTTTAATACCTGGTGTAAAACTTTACCTTCCCAGAAACCTTTAACTGAACCTTCAGCTTAATTTTTAAGTTTTTTTGTACAAAGCAGATGTATTATTATTATTATTGCTACTACCACTTTTTTATAGTTCCTTTGTATTTTTATGTACTCAATATGTGTGTGTGCGCCACCTCCCTGCTCATACTATGAAGATTTTTTTTGTATGGAGGCCATACTTTTTCTTTTTGTCTTCTTAATGTCTGCTCGATTTTATTTTATTTATTTATTTAGTTTTTACATAGAGGTTCAATTCATGCTTAATAAGGAAAAAAATGAATGACAGCAACTTTAGAAAATATACATTAGATAAATCTATAAAGTAAACCTGTGTTTTTATTTTATGTTACCATAGCTTTTCTTTATAGGTTACTGGGCCATATTAATTTTCTAAGCTTTTTCTTTTAACCAAAGATTTAAAAGCTTAGTGTAATGAATTAATATTTTCAAGTAGATTTCAAGATCATTTTTAATAATAATTCATAACATTCTTTTAAATTTTCATTTCTGAAACAAGATTTGATCATATACAGACTTTTTTTTGCCTTATCTACTGTCCATTCAGTCTGTAACTTTTATCATTTATTCATACAGCAAATGCTTTCTGAGCTCTTAGACTTACACAGAAGGGAACCACCCTTAGATAAAAGTCAAAGAATTTATGTAAATTGTACTTTATACTAATTCAAGTTATGGTAATTTAAACCTTTTATCAAATTCACATATGTAGAATTCTGCATTCATATCTTACATGCAATTAGAAAGGTTTTGTAGCCTCTAGGAGGTAATGAAGGGTCAATGCAAGCAGTTTTTTATGAAGTCTTTTTATTTCTTATTTTCTCAAAGAATGTTGCCATTTTCTGCTTTTTAGAAAACAACAGCAGCATATAACTTGGACTTTGTTTCAGGACTGACTGGGAGTGACTGCTCTCACCACAAGCTTTACTCCTTTTAGACTGGCTATGCCATAGTAACTGTTTATCTCCAGCCTGTGCTGTTTAGGAGAGCCGTTGTTATGAACTACTTCATGCAGATGTATTCCTCCTCCCACTTTGGTTTTGATCAGTCTACTCTGTCTTCTATTGACCTGCCTCTACATAAGCTTTCAAATATGGTGAGGCTCTTGGAATTGTGCTAAGAAATACAGAGATGAATTAAACATGGCCTGGGCATGAGGAAGAGACATTGGAGCTTGGTGATGAAACACGTGTGAGAGTTTTCTAGATGAAAAAGGGAAAAAGCATTCCACAAATAAGAAACAATATATTCAAAGGGTGAATGTGTTTCTATTTCTGAAGTATTTATCCTTGGGTTGAAGGATGACCAGATATTTAATTTTGATAGGTGCCACAGATTTGCTTTCAGAAGAAATGTAATGTGAAGAGTCTTTTCTAGAAATTGTGCATCAATGTTTATCACAGTCTCACCGACTTAGATATTATCAACATTTTAATTTTTAATATCTCATGAGTGAAAAATATTTCTCTTTTTCATTTTTAGTTTTAATTTTCTTGATTTTTTAGTTAGGTGAGGAATCTTTTTTTTTTTGTATTTCTTCTATGAAATCTTAATAGTCTTCACTCAGTTCTGTTAAATTACTTGTCCTATTCATATTGTTTCTCTTTAAATATCGGGGATAATAACCCTTTTTATATTTTGCAAATATTTTTCTCAATATGTTTCTTTTACTTACTTGAGACAGTGTTACTATTCTCGTCACAGAACTATTAATTTTTTTGCAATAGATTCTGACTTCTGTGTTGTGTCTTGTTAGACTGATATTCTTCACCTTAAAAATTTTTGAAACTATAGTCTTATTTTTCTAGAATGTTTAGTTTTATTTCTTTAGATTTCTGTCTTCACCTGCCTGGAAATGTTATCTGTGCTCTTGGTAGGTCCGATCGTGGGATCTAAGTATATTTTATAATCTGATTATCTCTTGCCTTATAACCATTTCTTAAATACTCTATTTCTTAGTGACTTGAAAATGTGACCATTAGCATTAAATTGGGTGTGTTTCTGGGCTCCATTGCTTTTTCCCATTAATATGTTTTCTTTCCCAGATCAGTCACTTACTGAATTACTTAATCTCTATAAGTTTGTTTCATCATAATAAAATGGAGATAATAATAGCATCTACCTCGGAAGATTGTGAAGAGGAATGACATAGTGAAGATCAAGTTTTTACCACATGCCTTGGTCACACTAGATGCTCAGTCAGTGTTTATTGCTGCTGTTGTGGTTATTTATAATTATTAAACCACTATTATTATTATTGTCAGAATCACATTATTTTAGTTTCAGTTGCTTCATATGTGGTACGGTAAGAGCTTGCATCCCATTGTTCTTTTACCAAAATATGAAGGTTATTCTGTATTTCTGAGCTTGAGAATCAGCTTCCCCATATCCCTTTTGAGACAAAACAAACATAAAGCCTGTTGGTACCTTGATTAGAATTACATCTTAATATGTAGGTTAATTGGGTGAGGACTGTCTAAAAAAAACTAAAATTTTAAGAGATGCTGACTTATTTGCTGTGGTTTGCTTCATATTTGGCAGTCATAGATTTGCAAAGCATATTGCACATTAGTTATTTAAAATGAGAGGAAGCAAAATTGTTTTTAAAGATGGCTTAGAGCTATCAAATTTTGTATTAGTGTCTTTAGTCTCTGGATGATAATGTATTGATAAGTTAGATTGTTGTTTCTAATAATATGAAGCTAGGGAAGCATTATCTATAGGTGTATTAGCATGTCCAAGACCCTGCATTGCTTAAAACAGTGTTGCTTAAAGTATGGTCCATGGACCAGTTTTTGTCCATAAGCACAAGATGAGAAATTAAGAGTAAGCATTTAGACAGATTTCTAGCATTGGTAGAGTAATTTATATGTTAACTCTGATAGTTTAAGAAAATGGGTTTATACTTTGTTATTTAAATTTCATTAGTTCTGAAGTAGTTTGGAAACAAAAGAAAATAAATCAAAACACAGACTACCTGGTCTTCATCACAGATAGTTTGACAAGTCTTACTTGGAATAACTTAGGCTATAAGGAGCAGGAAATGTTGCCTGGGATTGATTTAAACAAGCTCCCATTTTCCCGGTGCCTCAGCTTGCTCCTGTATAGTGGCTAGTTTTCCGTTCCCTTGATTTTGTAATTTATTCCTTTAGTTATTTTATGCCTGTCTGCCAGATTTTGCAGATTGCTTTTGAGAAAGGTTGTATCAATTTACCTTCCTAGCAGCAGTTTAGGAGGAGACCTTTTCTTAGCACTCTAGCCAAAATTTAAAAGGAGTGTTACATTTAAAAAATACTGGATAATTTATTAGTAAATTTTATTTTAATTTACATTTTCAACTTTTAGTACAATTGTATAGTTTTCCATATCTTTATTGACTATATTTTTGTTTCTCTATGTTAGTGGTCTATTTAATTCCTTATTCATTTACCTGTTGGAGTTTCAGTTACCTACTTGCTTGTTTGTACGTACGTATGTATTTACCCTTTGCCCACTAATCTATATATTCTCTCCCATTTTGTTTGCCTTAAATCTATAGTTTTCATTTTAAAATCTTCCTTTATGATTTCTTCCATTTTGTTAACTTTAGAAAATCTCTCAACCAAAGATTTACCAACTATTCATGCTATTTTAAAAGTACTTTAGGGGAGTAAATTTTAACGTTGTTTCTTGTGTTTGTTCTTTAGTCCCTCTGAAACTTATTTTGTTGTATGTATGGAGTAAGGATCTATATTAATTCTTTTCTTCAGATGACTAATTACTTACTTATGTTTTTTGAACATTCATATTCTTTCCTACTAATTTGCCTTGTCAGCTTTATCATATAATAAAGTCAGATTTAGGATCGTTTTCCTGTTGATCTGCATTAATACCAAACTATTCTACACACTGCAGGCTTTTAGCATCTGATAATTTTAGCCCTCCTTCCCCAGTACTCTTTTTCAAAATGTTCCTAGTTATTTCTACTTGTTATTTTTCCAGGTGAGTGTTTGGTGTTGTATTCTGGTTTATGTTTGAGAACTAAGATGATACAGGATTATATTGTTTTTGATTGTGAAAAATACTGATTGATGTATGTGGCAAAGTGATATTAACCGTCATTTGAAATACAATATTTGCCTCCAGCACAGTATTTTTCTATTTCCTCCAATTCATGTATCGAATAGCACATTTCTGTATGTGTTTTAACAACAGGTTCTATTGTTCATATAAAGAATACTTCAGAATTTCTTATGTTATTAACTTGAAATAAAAACATTTATAAGATTCATTAATATATGCATAAAAGCTGTATTTGAGTAACACATTTGTTGTAATCTCCCTTCCTGACATAATGAAGCTCATGCACACTGCAGTTTAGTTAGAATTTTTGCTATCTGAAATTTAGTTAAAATTAATTTTCATTATTTTAGTTTTAGGCTTTTCACCCCTTTTAAGCAGTGCTGTAGGAAAAAAGATAAATGACTTCCTATTTCCTTGCCTCAGTTATTTTTACTTTGATTACATTTGAGTTTTTAGAGAAAAATGTTTTACATTTATGTATTTCTTATTCAAAGCAATTCTTTAATGTGTGGGATTGCCACCATGAAATGATGACTCCACTAAAGTTCTCAAGATTTCCTTAAGGGTACACTAACTTTGATGAAAGCAGTGTAGCTTTCTTCACATTGTAGGAGTTATTATATTGCTATAGAATTGTGGTAGGTTAAATATATAAGTAGTTTTCATATATGCTGTGCAGATTTGTTGGCAAAGTTATTAATGAAATGATTGAGCTCAACCATTAAAACAAAAGATTTCCGTACATATATCAGTCATGACATCAATATATTATCCTTGTGACCAAAAATTCAGGGGTGCCACTATTTTTAAGACTCTTACTATATTTTTTAGTTTGTGTTCTAGAAGTGCTTTCTGGCGTTTTCTATTTAAACTCTAATCTCATTCATAAATCTGTCTGCTATGTCACAGTAAAGAATCATTTAGCCTGTGCTTAAAAATTGCAATCTCTCACTTCCCTCCTTTGCTTTGGATAGCTTTGATTGTTAAAAAGTTCTTCTTATGGAATTGAAATCTGATGTCTTTTGCCCTAAGAATTCTCCTTTTTCTGCTCTGTTTCTAAACATAAAATTGGCTTTTTCTTACCTTTAATGATCCTTACTTAACATGTCAGAGGACAGCCATCATGATCCCTCAAAGTCTCTTTTCCCCATTCCAGGCAGACTTTTCTGAATTCTCATATAGTAGGTGACAGCTTCAAATGAAATGTGCTGTCAGTAAGTAAATACAGTATGTCAAGTGTTCCCTGACTCTCAGTGGGAAAAGAGGCCATATTATGTCTCTGGACATGCTAGCATCTTAGATCTCTTCCCTGGGTTATCACAGCATGCCTTTATATGAACTGGAATGTACAGCTTCTAAACCATCTTATTTTCACTTAGGTCTTAGTAATTTTGAAAACAATAACGTGGCTACATCCAAGGATTTTCCTTGCTACTCACAGTTGCCTGGCAAATAACATTTCTTTTTAACATCACAAATGAGTTCCTTTGAACAGCTTTCCTAACCTCTAGCCCTCCTGATTAAGTCCTAGCCTTTACTTCAATAATCCCAGTATTTACTTCAGTAATCCCTATGTCACACTGTTTTGGTACATGCCACTCTTATTTATCTTTATAAATACTTCTAAGTAACATTGTTTTACATGAATCTTGAAAAGACCTCATTCCATAGCAAGATAGGATCATTGTTATTATTCTGCAGTTTTGAAATTTATCCTGTCTTAGTTCATGGCTAGTTACTAATTCTTGACTAATATGTGTGATCGGGTGACTAATTAGATGTGGAACTTTAAATAAGTTGCTTAACCTCTCTGTGTCTTGAGTTCTTTTTATACAAAATCAAAAATTATGTAGAATAATTTCTAAAGTACCTTCCTGCTTAAATTTATTACCTTAATGCTCATCTCCAAATATATGAATGTCCTGCTAATGACATGGAAATGAATATTCCAATTAGTTTTTCATGGGAGAGACTATTTACATTTTATGAAGAAAAGACATTTTTTGAGTGTTACAGAGAATATATTTCATAAATATAGCTTCCAAAGTTTCTCCTGTCTTCAGGCTTCTCCCTAGAAAGAGTGAAGAGAATGTGAGTTTATAACCCATATCAGAGGGTATTAGTCTTTTCTATCAAGAAAATGTATTGCAATTGAATAAACATGTCATAATGAAAGCTCATTTAAAACTTAAGTGAAAAGTACTTCTCTAAAATGGAGAAAATTATGTTTGCGTATTAATAAAAATGACCAGATTTAGAAATTTCTCATGTATAGGTAATTATTAGGAAAAGCGAATAGTTGTTTACTGGAATTAGTAAATAGTGCTAAGAATGACTTGAAACCATGTGATGTTGGGGTTTATTAGGGATATTGTACATGTGTTACTTGCTTGAATGCATTTCTCTTGTGATTTACTAAAAAGGGAGACATATGCTTGACTAATAATTCCATGCTGAGAGACTTAATTATTTTTCATGATGGTTCCATCTGAAGTTGTTTCACAAATTGGCAGCAGAATGAATTTATATTGTTAGCTGTACCCTCTGCTAGCCCATGTTATCAAATGCTTCTCCTCTGTACACCTTTTCATGATGTGTGCCATTACTTTATAAACATCTACGACAGTGCTTTGAAAAAATGCCCCTTGAGAAAAATTAGGGATTATCCACCCAGTTAACATAAAGCTACAAGTCTTAGGCTAAAGAGCATCTCTGTGAAGATCTCCCCTATTTTTGGATTAACTCTTAAAGCTTAAAGACTATAGTTGTCACCCAGCACTTATCTGAAAAGTGTCTAGTTTGAATTGAGATTTGCTGTCTGTATAAAATAAACACCAGGTTTTGAAGACTAGATATGTATAAAAAAGATTATGAAATGTCTCATTAATAATTTTATATAGATAACATGTTGAAGTGATATTTTATATATTGGTTAAAAAACCATTGTCAAATTAATTTCACCTTTTATCACATTTTGAAATGTGACTGTTAGAAAACTTAGAATTTTATCAGCAGCTCACATTATATTTCTTTTGGACAGCACTGGCCTAGCGTGGTTGATTACCTGTGAATGAAGAATAACTGTACATATTTGTAATCTCAAAACTTAAGAAAATTTAATTAACTTCATATATAATATTCCTTTATTTAAATTTTTTTGCATGTTGTCTTCTCTATACATCATGATTATTTCTATTCCAAAGCTGTGCTTATTTTGTTTCCTATACCTGCATTAGCAAACATCTGCTCCTACCTCCTGGCCCATTTATTTAATTGTACAGTATTTGCGGGGTATGTTCCAAGACCCCCAGTGGATACTTGAAATCATGAATAGCATCAAACCCTATATATATATACACTATATTTTTCCTATACATACATACGTGACATAAAGTTTATAAATTTATAAATTAGGCACAGGAAGAGATTGACAACAATAATAACAAAATAGAATAATTATAACAATATACTGTAATTAAAGTTATGTGAATGTGGCCTGTCTCTCCTACCTCTCAAAATCTTACTGTACTGTACTCACCTTTCTTATGATGATGTGAGATGATAAAATGCCTGTGTGCTGAGATGAAGTGAGATGAATCACGTAGGCACAGTGATGTAGCGTTAGGCTACTACTGACCTTCTGATGATATTTCAGAAGGAGGATCATCTACTTCAGGTGATCCTGGATTGTGGAGCCATGATGTCAATGGATGGAGAAATTTAATATTTTCGGGCCTTAGTTGACCATGGGTAACTGAAACTGCAGAGGTAAAACTAGATAAGAAAGAGTACTATACACACCTTTTTTTTTATTCAAAATATTACAGATATCCCCTTTTCTCCCCATTGACCCCTTTACTTCCTACCCACCCTCCTCCCTAGTCCCTCACCACACAATTGTCTTTGTCCATGGGTTATGTATATATACATATAAATTTTTTGGTTAATCTCTCCCCAGCCACCCACCCCCACCTTCCCTCTGAGATATGTCAGTTTGATTCATGCTTCCATGTCACTGAATCTATTCTGTTCATCAGCTTATTAAGATCTTTAGATTCCGCATATAAGTGGCATCATGTGATGTAAAGTCTTCTGAAAATCTCAGATCTTTCTGTGGAATTATTCTTGCTTATTCCACATTGATGTCTCTCTTCTCTGAACGTATTTTGCTTCTTTAAAGAATATTAGAAAGATAACATTTAATTAGAGCCTATCTTAAAATAATCTCTAAGAAATAATGTTCATGTATTTCTTAGACACATTTTTGGGAGGGAGTGGCAAGACATACATTCTTCTTCTAGTAAATTTCTTCCATCTGTAGATAGTTGGTTAATGTCCCCGCATAAGCTATAAGTGTAGCCATTCTTCCAGCTCCCTGGTGCTTTGATAGTATCACAAAAACCACAAGACATAGACTCATGAGTCAAGACTATGCTCTTTTGTGTGAGCCAACTTTTTAAAGTGATGCTTTAGAGAAATAAAAGTTGTGATACCAATAAAAACATAAAGGAAATTCGCCGTTGCACTTTTGTCATCTATAATGCCCCCTTTGTACTTTTTATCTGTAAAATGTCCATTTTACTTTTTTTTTTAATGGTCTTTGAATGTTCAGGATGATGCCCGTCAACTCTTTGTGCTTGCTGGAGCTGCTGAAGAAGGATTCATGACTGCAGAACTTGCTGGCGTTATAAAGAGATTGTGGAAAGATAGTGGTGTACAAGCCTGTTTCAACAGATCCCGAGAGTACCAGCTTAATGATTCTGCAGCATAGTAAGTAGCTTAACTTCAGAACTAAACTACCATGAATAATTGCTTGCAAATCAAATACACCTCCAAGTCAGTTTTATTGCAGAATTGGCTGACACATTCTTGTACAACTCTGAATATTCAGAATGACAATGTTTAAAAACTTCCTGTCCTTTTTGTGTGTTTGTAGATAGCAGTGTTGTCAGTTCTTTTGTGTTCAAAGGGTCTCAGGAGACTCATGCTTATGTAACTCTAATTGAAACATGTAGAATGGGACTGTTTCCAGTATTATTTCCAAGAAAGTAATTGGAACTTCCCGAAGTACATTCTGAATGTGGGTGTATCTCTACTTTGCCTGGGACTAGCCAAAGGGGAAGGTAACTGATTTGGGTTCTTTTCATTATACTAATGGTGCCCAAGAAGAGTTACTTGCCCAGTGACAGGCACCTGAATGACATGCATCCTTTTCAAGGTGATTCCAAGGTATTTTCTCACTGAGTAAAATAACTCTACACTTGAAGATTGTCAATTGTATGTTGTGCCCTGTTGCATTAGACATTGCTTACAGATACTGAAGTAGGTTTTTGGAAGAAAAGTCTGCCCTGATTTTCCAGATGGTGGCCCAGAAAGTTTGTAAAGCAAGTTGTGATAAAGCCTAAGCGGGGAGCATTCTGCTTGGTGATCTACATAGAATAAAAAATCAAGTATTTATTTACATAATTGGCATACATACTCAAAAATGCCAGATATGATATGAGTAGTATTAGTTGGTCTTAAAATGTGCCGTGCACTGACTTTCCAAGTTGGTTCCATTTTCTTGACAGCTACAGGCTCTTAGGGACACAAGTGAGGTTAGATTGAAAATGACTGGTATTAGAAGATCTGGATAAATGCACACACTTTGCCACAATGAAAAACATGGCTTTGCTTATTGTATAGCATGTCATTTATTGCACATCAGAGTACTCAGTTGTGTGTTACATGAATTATTTAGTGTGAATGAATAAATAATACATGCTACTATATAACCCTTAGCATTTTTATAACACTGTATTTCTTAATCTGTATTTTTAATATTTTATAAGTATATAAACCACATATATTATTACATATGCAGTTTATATTTGCATATGTAACATATCTTATGGAATATGTAGCCCATCTCTCAAACTGGTGTCACTTCTACTAGGAAATAAATATTCTTTAACTCACTGAGTAGGTCCTTGCCTCCCTGTTTAATGTACTCATGATACGATATATTTTCTTTTTTTGCACTCACAGATTCACATTTATTTTGAATTCATTTGATTTATACTTGTATGAAGACTATTTGGTTATTTTCTATCTCTGCCACTACACTGTCAATTCAATGAAGTCTGTTTTTGCCCAACATTCTATCTCCATAGCCTGATACAGTCACCACTCAATATGCCTTTGTTTCGTAATGAATGAATTAATAAACCTAACTTACAGAGGATAGCAGAGAAATAAAAAGAAAATTACTTAGAGCAAGAACACAACTCTTAGGCCATAATAATTTGCTTTGGCACCACCAGTACTTTCAGAAAAATCTAACCGGGAATCACACTGTTAAGGTGAGAAGACTGCTCGAGCTGAGCCCAGCAGGAGGAGCTATTTCAGTAATTAAGGGGGACAATAGATTGAAATATGTTTACCCATGTGGGGGGGACTTCTTGGACCTTTCAGTCTTTTCACCAGGACACTCTCTTGTGTACAGTGCTTGGACATGCATGGAGAAAAATACATTGCTTTGGCTCCCATTATTTCATTACTGGTAGTTCTGACCCTGAAATGGCAATAATGGAGCCATTTTTCAAAAACGAAGGAGGTCATAGAAATCATTTGCTTCATAGTGATTACAGGGCATTTTTCTGAGTTCTTGACTGGAGATGGGGGGATGCTGCCAAGTTGCCCATTAAGACTAACCGCCAATTTATACTTTAAATTTCTGAGTGTTTAAAACAATTGGAATTTTTCACAATGCCTATATTTTTTGTCCTATTGAAATATAAATGTGCAGTATTTTTAGAGTATTAGAATTCTAGCAGCTTTAAGCAAATAAATGTATTTATGAGTAATCAGAGCACATTTTAAATAAGAATAGCTCCGTATTTTATAGGGACAGTTAATAAAATCTTGCCATGTCCTGTTTAGTTTATTAAAACATATTTTTTTACAAGAAGGTATAACATTTGTATGTATAATATTGTGTATAACATGTAGTACAGATAAAGTACTGGGGGATTATCATTAATGCCATAAAAGATAAGATCTTTTAAATTAAGTACAATACAGATAACTTAAGCTGTTATATCTCTGTGTATATCAACATCAGATACAAGTACCTAACTGTCTAAAACACTTTTTGGTCACTAATTCAGTGTTTGGATGGTTTTCCAGCTCCATCCCCAATGAATCAAATATTTATTGAGCTCTTTTGTTTGCAAGACCCCATTCTAAATGACTAAGGAAGCGTTTTAGAGGAAAACATCAATTAAAGTTGCAAAAGTCGGTGCCTCTCTACCTAAATTTATCTTCTAAATTGTCTTTCACATTCTGCCCTCGTAATTGCAGAGCACTACAGGGATACTCTCCACATTCAGCTGAAGACTAATTCCAGATTCTCATTTTACGTTGTGCGTAGCCTATTAGTGACCTTGCTGTCTTGGAAACAAGATGTGACTATTCCTGCCTCCATACTGTTTTACTGCTTGTCCTGATGTGAATGTCATTCCTTGTTTCTGTCCCATCCTTCAGGTTTCTAGTCATACCCCTCACTATCCTTCTTTACTCGGGTTCACATTGATCTCTGCTTACATGGACTTGCAATAATAATATGGACTATATAATTCAACACAAATTACACAAAGTAATTGCATTGTATGACACAAACACGTTTTGATATCGCAACAGATTTGTCATTATTGACAGAGTGTTGAATGAGTAATTAAAATCAGTAAGAAGTGAAATTAGAATATTGATTTAGCCCGGCCGGGTGTGGCTGAGCGGTTGAGCGTCGACCTGGGATCCAGGTGATCAGGGTTCGATTCCCTGTCAGGGCACTTGCCCAGGTTGCCAGCTTGATCAATGACTTTCTCATCATTGATGTTTCTATCTCTTTCTCTCCCNCATATATATATTATATATATATATATATAATATATATATATTGATTTAGAAGGCCAGTAAAATTCAGAGTAAAGCGTCATGTGTAGTGTTTTCCTATGTGTAACTAAAGGCAGGTTGAAAAGAAACAACATCAAATTCAGTCTTTGGCTGGAGGTATTCCTCACTGTCTTCTCAAAAAGTAACTTTCTAAATCCTCAACAAAAGAATAATACCTGGAACATAAACACTAGTGCTGCATCAAAAAAAGTGAAATAAAAAATTTTAAGAAACAAACATATGGTGCACAGTTATTTTGGGTGTTTTTAAAAAGTAATTATTAGTCTCTTTTTCTTTCCCAGCAAGGAGAATTACTAATTACTGTCCTTCAGAAATTAAGTACATAACATTTAAAAAATGTTAGAAGAGTTTTCTGGCTAGAGAAGTATAAAGACTGATTTCAGTGGAAGTTGTGTAAGATATAAACTTAAATTGGTTGTATTACATCATTACACAGAAATGTAAAAACTCCCAGTAATTTGGAATATTGCATGTATCAAAATTTCTTGCTCTTTGATTTAGATGATCTTTATTGGCTATATTAACTATTAGCATGTTGTTTTCTTGTTTATGTTTTCAGCTATTTGAATGACTTGGACAGAATAGCACAGCCAAATTACATCCCAACTCAACAAGATGTTCTCAGAACACGAGTGAAAACCACAGGAATTGTTGAAACCCACTTTACTTTCAAAGATCTTCACTTTAAGTGAGTAGCTTCAAAGTGTATGGTTTATAAATTAGTATATTAAAGCACATTGTTTAGGAAAAAAGGTATAATTATAAGAGTTTAAAAAAATTCATTCAGAAATTATTTTTAAAATTTCTCAGATGATTGGACGAAAGATATTTTGGATGAAAGAGGGCAAGAAACATTCTTAGGACTATTTATATGTTTAGTTGAGAACAAATAGCTATGCAAATTCCTCTTGCCTCTATTTTTCACAGTGATTTAAATAAAAATGGTTTTTGGCTTTTATTTCTAAATAGGAAATACTGCTCTAATACTGTATATTTTGAGGAAGTTCTGTCATCCATTTTTAGGAAGAAAGAGTTTTGTTGGTAGGATGTATGTTTGTTTATGGAAATATTACAAAGAAGAGTACCTTTTAAAATTTTTTCATGAAAATTTTTATTCATGCAAACTGATGTGATGAAAATTTTTATTTAATTTAGAGTGTACTGATTATTAACATACTGAGGTCTGAGCAGGGAAGCACTGAATTGTAGTGGCCTTTAGAAATGGAGGTATCTTGGAATTCCTTTTTTCTAGTTTGCTCATTATATAATGAACCAGGCTCAGGGAAGTTCAGGTAAACATTGCATTCAAATTTACAGAACTATGTTTTTCTTTTACCAATAATGATTTTCAAAATATGTTAAAAACTGCTGGACTTAGCCTCAGTTGACTCTACTGATCTGAAACAGTAATGATGATAAAGCAGAATTTTTGAAAGCATCTTATAAAGAGGTTCCAAGTCAAGATAAACAAAACAAATAATCATCAGCTCGCCTCCTAAAGAAGCTGACAGCAGTTGTGGGAAAGCACAGTTAAATATATGCAACTATACCTTTGATTCCCTCCTTCAGTATTTTAAATACATTTGTTATCATTTGTCACTAATTTATCCCACATTCAGTGGTTCATATAATTGAGTTTTCTAGAAAACAAAAATTTAATTTCAACTTTCCATAGTAGCTTCCCTCCAAAAAAACAAACATTGCCCTGCTTCTTAGAGATACAGATCATGATTAGTTTGTCTGACCTTGTAACTGTGCTTTAACACATCGTACGGTTTTGCATCTGCTTTAATTTTTTTTTTCTGTTCTCCTATTTTTAAGCTGTCAGGGGACATTTTTTGTTGTCATTATCTTTTATTAAAACCGTTTACCTTCTTTTGGTCTGCTTACTACTTCTAGAACATTAAATTACCAAACTCAGGAATTTTAAAATGTTATTTTAAATAATTTGATAGGTCTTATCTGAGAACTGTTGTCATATTTATCTTAATATTATGAAATAATTTAAATTATAAGGAAGCTCACTGTTAGAATGAGGCTTTAAAGTTTGTTTTTAAAACCTAGTACACTTTAGGTTTTTATTCTTTTGCTTTTTATCTCAATTTAAAGACCATATTCTGTAGCAAACTTAAATTATGTTCAGGTAGTGGTTTTATTCGAACCATGTAGCTCAAGGAGAAAATGAGTGGGTTTTGTGTTAGCAAATAAGGATTCTAGACGTAGGCCTCCATTAGGGAAATGGGCAAACTTGGTTAAGATTCTCACAGAGAGTGCGACCGTCTTGCCTGTTGTCAGAGGCTTGAAAACAAAACAAGGAAATGTAGAGTGAGAGCCCTATAAATAGTGGGAAATGGCAGTGGTACTTGAGGCAGTCTAACTCTAAAATTCACTTTCAGTCCAGTTAGAGTCACCTGAAACACTCACTTCCAAGCCACACTTTTCTCTGCCTGCCTGAGTTTCGCACTTGTCATTTCTGTGTCAGGCAAGTCCTGGGATTCATTTGTTTCTTATCATGATCCTCCCTGGAAGTCCATGTATGTTGCTCTATTTAGTCTCCTCAGGTGAGGCAGAATGTCACAGGGTGTATTTAGTTACTGTTTTCACTTGCTGACTTAAACAGGGTTGTCAAGAATTTCAGATAAACTTTGTCTTACTTTGGATCTTAAAATTCTTTTAAATAGCTATCATTGCTAACATATGGTTCCAGATTTGCTTCCCATATGTTAAATGAGCCTCGGAAGAATGAGGGCTGAACTGTACTTACAATAATTCTACTGGGAACTCTTGAGTGTGCTTATCATTTTCTGTGTTTTGTGTTGTAATTCATTGTCTGATTTTAACAGGTGTAAAATTTAAATTTCACTTATTTTGTGGTATGATTGGAATTAAATTCAAAATGAAGCACTAAGACATTATTCTTTAAGAATTCATCTTATCACCTCTGTGACTAGGCATACATGGATTATTTTGCTTTAAAGAGTCAACGGGTTTATTTTAGTATGATATTTTTGTCAAATACAGAATTAAAGCATCCCTTCTATTATAAAATGACCATTGTAAGACAGATTTCTATTTATTTTTTATAGTAATATGAATGTGTAATAGGTTTTGGAGTGCAATGTCATATTTAGAGGGTTGATATCCATATATGGTCCACTAGCTCTGCACCAGTCAGTCTTGGTCACGTTCTGAGAAGTCGGCAAGCACATCTCAGGATCTCCAGGATCCCCTTCACTTCCCCACACCTAAAAAAACCCTTAGATTCAGTCCCTATTCAACACTAGTCAGAAGTCTCATCTTTTCATATGAAGAACATACTATAACTTTGTTCTGTTTTTGATTATTTTTTTGAAATAGCAGTTTAGAATTTGAAGGTAATTCTAATGTATGTATGAAACAATGTCTAATGCTCTATGCGCAATCCTATCATTTGTAGTATCAGTTCTTAGTCATTTTCTCCTTGGCTTAAGAATTAGACCAGTGACTTTGAAAGCACGATCCTTGGATCAGCAGCATTGACTTCATCCACCTGGTGATTCTTCTGTGCACTAAAGTTTGAGAGGCACTGGCTTAGATTAAAGGATCTTTGTTTGTGACCAGTACATGAATGACCCTCATTCATTTCTCATTTAAATAAATTTAAGAGATTTCTTCTGTTATAAGATTGCCTTCTTATCAAGTTATAGCTCTTTTATATTTAACATTCCTACAGTATAACTGGAAGATCTGGATCTTTAACATGGTAAAGCTAGTCTATTATTATTTGAAACTGTTTTAAAATAGTCTATAGACACAGTTCACTTATTTATTCAACAAATAATTTGTGAAGTACTTGTCTGTGTCCAGTGTAGGAGATACAAAGTTACCAAAACAAACAAAATTACATTGTTAGGGAGTGATATAAATATTTAATATTCAGGGAATCATAATTGCTATAGTGAAAAATAAAGCAGGTTATTAGTGTATTAGTTTCCCAGGGCTGCTGTAACAAATTACCACAAACTAGGTGGCCTAAACACCAGAAATTTATTCTTTCAGAGTTCTGGAGGGCTAGACCTTTGAAAGCATACCAGCAGGGCTTTTCTCCTTCTGGAGACTCTAGGAAAGAAACCTCTCTTGCCTCTTTCTAGCTTCTGGTTATTGGTGGTAATTCTTGGTATTCCTTGGCTTGTAGCCACATCATTCCAATTTTCGGCCTTTGTCACATGGCCTTCTTCCCTGTGTGTGTCTGGTTCCTCTTTGCTTAACCATTCATTTTTCAGTTTATCTCTTTCCTCTTGCAAGTTACTATAGCAGCAAGGAGAAACAAGGCCATACCTTGCACATTTTGCTTGGAAATTGCCTCAGTTAAATGTCTAGTTCATCTCTTACAAGTTCTACCTTACACCCAGCACTAGAACACAGTTAAGCAAAATTTTTGCTACTTAAAAAAAAGAATTGCCTTTTCTACATTGTCCAATAGCATGTTTCTCATTTCCTTCTGAGACTCATCAAAAGTATATTTAACATTTATATAGCTCTCAACCTTGTGTTCATGATGATATATAAATTCTCTAAGATAGAAGTTTTTCTACCATCCTCTTCACTTCCATCTGTCTTACTAAAAAATCACCTTTAATGTCCATGTTTCCAGCCAGCCATCTTTTCAAGGCAATCAGGATTTGCTTTGTCAAGTAACTCAGGATCCTTCCAGCCTCTACCTATATTACCAAGTTCCAAAGCCACTTTCACATTTTTAGGTTGGATATAACAGCACCCTACTCTGGGCACTAAAATTTGTATCAGTCAGGGTTCTTCAGAGAAACAGAACCAGTAGATTCTGTTTATTTCAAGGAATTGGTTTGCATGACTGTGGGGGCTGACAAGTCCAACATTTGTAGGCTATGACATCAGGCTCTGACAGAAACTGATGTTGCAGCCTTGAGGCAGAATTTCTTTTCCCTCTGGGAAAACTCGGTTTTTGCTCTTAAGGTCTTTCAACTGATTGGATGAAGTCTGCCCACATTATCAAGGATAATCTTCTTTTCTACAAGTCAACTGATTACAGATATTAACGCAACTATCAAATACCTACACAGCAGCACCTAGATTCATGTTTGATTAAATAACTACTATGATAGTCTAGCCAAATTGACACAAAATCAGCCATCACAGAGGGAAAATGTGGGATGGTTGTTATTATATATTGAGTGGTCAGGAAATGTGTGACATTTGATCAAAGAAGCTATCTAAAATATATTATCTTTTTGGTAAAGTTATTTTCAGATTGTGTTCCTTGGAAATTTAACAAATGTATGACCATTTTAATTAATTTTATTTTGTTCTCATTTGAGTTTTATTACCAGCTGTCCTTTCTGTGTCTTACCTATTTTCATTTATCATAGAGTCATTTTTATATAGCATTCTTAAACTTAATGATTTACTAGCTAAACCAATAGAATGAAGGCCATTTAAATGATGCTAAAAGTAACAATACTAGTTGATGTACTCAGATTTGGTTTATAGGCCAATACTGCTCTGCAGGGAAAATTCTTTTTGCTGCCTGAGAATTTAAATAGGGACTCTTTTAATTAGTTCACCATCTAGATAAATGGAACCTTTAAAAATGTACCATTTTGCATAGTGTTTCCATTATATAAGCGGTTATTGCTAGGTTGCATAACATATCCTATGTGCATTCCAGCTTTTGCTTAATAAATTCTTACAAGAAAAAGAGGAAAGAATCATTGTCTTTATACTGCTTAATTGTATTGCTACCCTGAACACTTACCTACAGTGGTCTATTGCTGTGTAAAATTTGTTTTTTTCACTCTGAATTTTAAGACTATTCGTTAGAGCTACCCATTTATCTCATAGTGTATCTCACATTTTCTTTTATACCCTGGTTTTTCTTTATTAAGGCAACCTGTTGACCCCACTCTAAATATGCCTTGCTTTCTCAGCTTTTTCTGACCAGGAATGGTTTCTCCTTCACGTCAAAGTCCTGCTTATTGCCTCTGAGAGAAAACATTTTGTAGTGGGAATAGAGGACCATGTCCTTTGGTCTAGTGTTTCGTGACATTGGCATATTGAATTTACTCTGTTCTCTCTGCATTTCCTAGTGACCTCATGTAAATGTTTAGTATCTTCGTATGTGCAGTCCATTCATATGTATTTGTTTTAATGTTCTGTTCTAAGTGTTCTTATATGTTAATATGTTATTTTTGAAGGTATTTTGGGGTTTTTTGGTTTTGTTTCAAGATACCCTCTCTTTCAAAAATTTTTAAAAATCATACTTTTTTCCACTTGTGAAAAACAATTTCTAACATTATTTTCATCCCATAAAGTCTTTTTCCTTTCTTCCCATCCCACATTATCTCTGCAATTTTTGTTGATATTGTAGAACTCGGAGCTGTTAGACATTTATGTGATACTCAACTCATTATTTTTCTCTCTCAGGATGTTTGATGTGGGAGGACAGAGGTCTGAGCGGAAGAAATGGATCCATTGCTTTGAAGGAGTCACTGCCATCATTTTCTGTGTGGCACTGAGTGACTATGACCTGGTTCTAGCTGAAGATGAAGAAATGGCAAGTACAACCACTTTTAAAGATTGAGCATGAAGTATGAAAAGCTGAAGATGTTGCCAGGAATTTTTCTAAGAAAATTTCTTGAGGAAGTCTTGCTAATGTCTAAATTATTTGAAAGTTTGGGCTCTTTTCTCTAACTTTTCTGTGTCCATACTAAATGGGAACTATATTAAAGAGGCACAGATGGATCCTGAAAAAAGGAAAAGACAGAGTTAATCTCACCTCAGTCCTGTGTGCTGAATTATGCATTTCCTATATCTGGTAGTATCTACATAGTGAATGAAAATAAAGTTCATTTCATAATAGTCCAAGGTTTGTTTTTCTTAGCTTATTACTTCTGCCAGCTCCAGCTCAGTAATCTTTGTTCCATGTTATACTTTGCACTGCTGTGTAATTTTCAGATGTATTTTAGTATACCATTAATCTGGGGGAAATGTTTTTAAGTAGAAATTTAAAACTCTTTCATTTAAAATTAAGTTAGTACAAACTGGAAAAAAAGATAGAAATGTCACTTTTCTGTTTTTTAAGTCAGGTGTTCGCAGTTACAGTGCAGTGGGTGCATCGCACCTCATTACTCGTTTCCCTTATTTCAGCGCAGTAAAGTACATCAATGCCCCTTTTGAGACCACAGGTACTGGGAGGCAGCAAACAGGAATGGAGGTTCCCTTCACAAGCATACCTTTACATTTAGGGTGTTGGGCTAGTTGTGTTTCAGCTTATTCAGTTTAACTTACTAATCTTTAAAAAGCTCTGCTTATCTCTTAATGGAAACTTCATTTACTTCTGTGATAATGAGATCTTTTCAATTGCTTACATTTGGCATCCCTAGATTGCAAGGTCCTGTGGCGGGACGCTCCCAGGCACAGTGACACATAGTGGGTACTCAGTACTGGGTGAATGCCAAAAGCAGTGAGTGACACAGATACTCATCTCGCCAGAAATCAAAGGGTGCTTGTTAAGTGCCAGAAATGTATTTTTGTAGTTTGTTGTCTGCTTTTCAGCTAAGCTCTATTTTGTTATAATTTGTTATTTTTTAAAAGTAATATGTCTCAAAATCCATGCCATTATAGCAAACTGATTGTATCTTTCCTACCATAGAATCGAATGCATGAAAGCATGAAGTTATTCGACAGCATATGTAACAACAAATGGTTTACAGAAACATCTATTATACTTTTTCTAAACAAGAAGGATCTCTTCGAAGAAAAAATCAAAAAGAGCCCTCTCACTATATGCTATCCAGAATATGCAGGTATTTTACTTTCTATCAATAACTTGTCAAGTCATATATTTCCAACTGAAAGTTTCCCTAAGGCGAGATTTCAATTGATTTGAATCCCTCTGTGTAGTAATTTTTACCTTTAAGAGAAATTATTTATTGAACTACATTCAAGCACAAGTAATTACTTGAGGTGTCGATTAGATTATTGGAAATAACATTCATTTTGTAGAAAAGGTGTTAAATAATTTTCTGTGATGACTTCACATCTTCATACATTTACTGTATTTATTTCTTCATCTAGTTAACAGATCTTGTGTCAGGTATTGCATGATGCTCAATAAATAAGATATATCTTGCTCCTTTTTTAATTTCAAAGACACATGTACTCTGACAAACAGTAGTGCAGCATGCTACTATGAAGTAACATGAACAATAAATGTAAGGGGAAAAGTGAAGAAGGAATTTGTAAGTTAGTTAACAACTCAGGAGTAAGGGGATGTTTCACAGGAAATCCACACTTTGGTAATGAGACTATTAATGGTACTTTTTTTACTACTGTGGAAAATGGTCTGCAATGAGAAAAGGAGACCTGAAGTATAGCCCTACCTTTTCTATAATTAGCTCTTTGATCTTGAACCAAGCAGTTCATTTACCTGGGTCTCAGTATCCCTTCTTTAAAATCAGAAGTGGGCTGAAACATTGGTTATGATTTCGTTTTAATTTTTATAACACCTCCTGGACTGCTGCTGTTGAAAGTGGATGCAAGAAGGGAAATATAGATCCCCCACCCCCAAACACAAGTTCTTGCTCATTAAAGCAGAGTGACTTAGCTTTCATCTGAATAAGATTTTATTTTAATAAGGAGAATGTGTCTTAAAAACAGTTTGGCTACCACTGGTTTATGGGATCTCGGAATTGAAATTTTCTGAAGTTTGGTTAATTTAGCTAATTTATACAAATTACCCTCACTCTCTTCTTCCTGTTTTAAAATAATTCTCAAGAATTTACTTGGTTATAAACAAAAATTTAGTCAGTCTTGTATTGAGTAAATTGTACGATAAGTGTTTACTGCCTTTTCACAGGTGATGTTAAAACAACCGTGTGGTATCAGTAAGAGTACTTCCCAGGGCTTAATGAAGTAACAGAGTCCAAATCCAGACCTAAGTCTATCGCATCATTAACCACCAGAGTAACTTTAATTAAATCCTCATTGGAATCAGAGGTTGGAGGAGTCTTCAATAAATATAAGCACACTAATCATTACAGCCCTTTTTTGTATACTGCAAAGTTGTATTTCAATTCAAAGTAATTTCACAGTTTCTTAAAACTTTTGTTTTCGTTTTGAAAGTCATAGTACCCTAAGTTACCTTATTCAAAAACACTTAGTGCTTATTAGGAATAACATTATTTGTAGTACTAATTCCAGGATGGAAGCTATCCAGAATCAACGTGGCTTACTTTTGCCCTTACTTTCATCTGTCTGTCTTTCATTTTTTTTTGTCATTTTCTATTATGAAGTAGCCATTTTGTATTATTATTACCACAGTACCCAAATGAATCCATAGATATCACATACTTGCAGGGATTTCAGAGCAGCAAGGAAGATACTTGTTAGCTCTTTCTTTGCCAAGTATACAGTGTGTACAAGAATTTCCCTTATGTTGTCAAGTTAATAAGAATCCCTAATCTCAGAATTTTTGAATAAAGAGAGTATCACATAATTCCTTCACATTCCTAGTGTTAATAGAATAATTTAATCTTCACTGCATACCCTAATTATTGACTCAGTTGCCTCTGGCTTCAACCTCAACTCTTAATTCCTATGACTATTGCTTTTTAAAGAAGAACCCTATGTAGCTTTTAGATTCTCAGTTTATTTCCTACCTCTATCTGTGTCTATCTTTCCCTCTTCTTTTTACCTATATGTTGTCACCACATTCCAGCTGCAGTCCTATAATCTTGTATAATCTGTCCTTTCACGGTCATATTTATTCTCATCATGTTAAATTCTGTTGTTAACTGTAATTTCTCTCTGGAGCCTCAGGCTTGCGTTTCCAACTACTTGTTGAACATGTACTTGTTTTTTAGCACCTGAAACTCAAACTAAACTCAGTGTATTTTATTTTTCTCAGATCTCTATCTCCCTTTGAATTATATCATCGACCTCCTGATTTTTCATTCTTAAAACAGGTTATCATCTATACTTGGCTTTGTTTAGAACAGTTCTGTCACATGTTAGAAAATATCTGTTACATTCTCACTCAGACCCCCATTCTTACCATTCTTTTCATAAGACTTAAAATCAGATTGAGGAATGTGCCTACACATTCATTCATATATTATGTTGCTCTTTGGATTAGGTAGTATAACTTCCTACCTAGAATATATAGAGAAAATTGAGCTAGGCACTCAGTCAAGCTATTTTCCCAAAACATACAGAGTGTGGCAAAAGTAGGTTTACAGTTGTGAGTATGTGAAACACAGAGTTTATTCTTGCATTATTATTTATTAATTATTGTATTATTTTCCATATGAACAACTGTAAACCTACTTTTGTCCCACCCCATATTTTTAATATAGTTGTTGAATTACCTTCTAGGGGAAGACACTGTTATTGCTTTAGAAATTCAGAACACCAACCTTATTATAATTTAATTAAAAAAATTTTATTTGTAAAAGTATATGGTTGTCAACTAGCAACTTAAAGAGTTAAAATGTATTTTGACAACCTAGAAAAAATGGATAAATTCCTACAAACATACTGCCTAACAAGACTGAATCATGAAGAAATAGAACATCTGGACAGACGAATTACCAGTAAGATTGTATCAAGAATTAAAAACGTCCCAACACACAAAAGCCCATGACCAGATGGCCTCACTGGTGACTTCTCCCAAACACTTGAAGAATAATTGACACAAGTTCTTCTCCAGCTTTTCCACAATAGATGAGGACAGGGCCTTTCCTCACTCAGGAGGCAGCACCTTCACACCGAAACCAGACAAGAACACCACAGAAAGGAAAATTATGGGTCGATACCTCTGATGAATTCACATGCAGAAGTTCTTAACAGAGTATCAGCAAATCAAATTCAACGAAAGGGTCATAGACCATGATCAAATATGATTTATTCCAGAGGTGCAAAGATGGTTTAACATCTGCACACCAATCAATGTGGTGTGCCACCTTCACCAGAGGAAAGACAAAAATCAAATGCAGAAAAACATGACAGAATTCATCAGTTATATAAAAACTCTTCAACAAAGTGAGTATGGAGGGAATGCACTGTATCATAACATAGGCCATATATGACAGGTCCATAGCTAACACCATATTCAGTGCCGAAGAGCTAACAGCTTTTTCTCTAAGATCAGGAACAAGACAAGGAATCCAACTCTCGCTACTTTTATTCAACATAATATTGGAAGTCCAAGGCAGAGGAATTAGGCAAGAAAAAGAAGTAAAAGGCATTCAAACTGGAAAAGAAGAAAAACTCATTATTTGCAGATGACATGCTATATTATACAGAAAACCATAAAGACTCCACTATAAAACTATTAGAACTAATAAGCAATTCATTAAAATTTCAGGGTATAAAATTAATATACAAAAATCTGTTGCATTTCTATACTAGTAATGAACTATCAAAGAAATCAAGAAAATAGCCCCATTTACGGTTGCATCAAAAAGAACAAACTACTTGAGAAAAAATTTAACCAAGTTGGTAAAAGAGTTATACACTGCAAACTGTAAGATGCTGATGAAAGAAATCGAAGTAGACACAAATAAATGGAAAGATATTCCCTGCTTAATGAATTGGAAGAATATTGTTAAAATGTTCGTCCTACCCAAAGTAGTCTAGAGATTCAATGCAATTCTATCAAAATTCCAATGGAATTTTTCAGAGAAAGAGAATAAACAACCCTAAAACTTGTAAGGAACCCCAAGAGTCTTAGAATAGCTAAATTTGCCTTGAGAAAGAAGAACACAGCTAGAGGCATAATGCTCCCTTATTTCAAACCATATTACTAAGTTACAATAATCAAAACAGTATGGTATTGGCCTAAAACAGATACGTGGATCAAGGGAACAGAATACAGAGCCCAGAAATAAACCCACACATACATAGTCAATTAATTTGCAACAGAGGAGCCAAGAATATACAACAGGGAAAGGACAGTTTCTTCAATAAATGGCATTAGAAAACTGGACAGCCACATGCAAAAGAAAACTAGAGCACTATCTTACACCATACACAAAAACTCACTAAAATAGATGAAAGACATGAACATAAGTCCTGAAAACACAAAACTCCTAGAAGGAAACAGGTGGTAAGCTCCTTGACATCAGTCTTAGTGATGATTTTTTGAGATGACATCAAAAGCAAAGGCAACAAAAGCAAAAATAACAAGTAGGACTATATCACACTAAAAGGCTTCTGCACAGCAAAGGAAACAATCAACAAAATGAAAAAGCAACATACAGGATGGGAGAAACTATTTGCAAACCATTTATCTGATAAGGGGTTAATATCCAAAGTATATAAAGAATTCGTAGAACTCAGTAGCAAAAACAAAACAAACAAAAATAACCGAACAATTAAAAAATGGGCAGAGGACCTGAATAGACATTTTTCCAAAGAAGACATACAGGTGGCCAACAGGTCCATGAAAAGGTGCTCAGCATCACTAACCATCAGGGAAATGCAAATCAAAACAACCATGAGCTATTGTTTCATACCTGTTAGAATGGCAGTTATCAAAAAGCCAAGAAATAACAAGTGTTGGCAAGGATATGGAGAAAAGGGAATCATTGTGCACTGTTGGTGGGAATGGAAATTGGTGCCTCCACTATGGAAAGCAGTATAGATGTTCCCCCAAAATTAAAAACATAAGTGTCACATGATTCAGCAGTTCCACCTCTGTGTATTCATCTGAAGAAAACAAAATACCAGCTCAAAAAGAAATGCTTGACCATATTCATTACAGCATATTTACAGTAACCAAGGAATGGCAACACTGCTGAACTAATTAGAGGAGAGGCCACTGCAGTAACACAGGTGTCAGTTTGCATATTGGGTTCTCATGCCATGAGGTGAGCCTGAAATGTGGAGGAGAGGATCTCAGAATGGAGAGCCTCTGAGCAGGCTGGGTATTAAAGGACCTTGAAAGCCAGGCAAATAATGCGGTGTTACTGCAAGAGAGAGATTTAAGAATGATTTTCAAATGAGCATTTGATTGAAGTATTATATAAGTACATATAAAAATACACAAACACTCAACACTTAAGGTGAAGCTCACTCAATTTTTAAAAGTGTAAATACTGATGTTTTTATCATTCAGGTCAAGGGGTACATTTCCAGGTCCCCAGAAGCCCCATCATGAGCCCCCCCACACACACACACATGCTCTCTCTAACCATTATTATAACATCCTCACTGATTAATTTTGATGGTTGTCTAAACATCAGTTGAATCACAGCATATAATATTTTTGTATCTGGCTTTACTTGATTAACTGTGTTTCTGGATCTCATCCATATTATTGTGTGTAGCAGTAGTACTTTCATTCTCATTTCTCATTACTGTAAGGCAGCTTGTTTTATGAGTATACCAGAACTTATTAGCTGGGTTGTTTCCTAAACTAGAAGTTCTGCTGTTAAGAGTCTTTATATGTTTTCCGGTGAACATATATTTATGTATATATATATTGATGTCAAGGGCACATCTAGAAACTGAATTACTGGGTCACAGAGTCTGTGCGTGACTATCTTTAGATCCTGCCAAACAATTTCTGGAGTGTTTGGACTTGAAGTCTTCAGTTGGTTACCTGAAAGCAGCAGCATGTCATTCACTCTTTTATAATCTCATAGCTATAAACCACATTGTAGACCCTTGTACAATTTTTTAATAAAGAAAAATCAGTGAGAAATGCTCATTACTGTGTATATAAGAAAGGGAATAAAAATACTGACCAGCATTCAGCCAGCATTCCTTGACCAGCCGCTAGGCTATTACTGACCTGGCATGCCACCATCAGGGAACTGTGTGGTTCCCTGCTGGGTTATAGAGTTCAAGGAATAAGAAAAATGAAGGATCTGGCGTTTGGAGATTGAAACAGGAACAAAAGCCATATGGAATGTGTAAAACCATATATTTGGTTTGGGGTTTTGTTTTTCTTAAGGGTAACTTACACAGTTATTAAAAGTTAGTTGACATTGGGTATTGTTCATTTAGAAGAAATAGTTTCTGTTATTCTATAAGGAAAAGTGAAGTTATGGAGCCCAAATAGTTTAAATGTATGAAAATGAGTTCAAAATTTAAGGTCGTTTTTCTTAGCTATCTACTCATTTTAACTTTTCACCTTCTTTTCTTTTCTTTCCCGCCTCAGGCTCAAACACATATGAAGAGGCAGCTGCATATATTCAGTGTCAGTTTGAAGATCTCAATAAAAGGAAGGACACAAAGGAAATATACACCCACTTCACATGTGCCACAGATACTAAGAATGTGCAGTTTGTTTTTGATGCCGTAACAGATGTCATCATAAAAAATAATCTAAAAGATTGTGGTCTCTTCTAAGTTTTGCAGTGAATGGTTAAATGCATTTTCAAACCAAATGAGTACTTATATGTGGATCTCTCTAGACTAGAGTCTTGCAGCAACACAGAATGTAGTATACAGCAAACACACCTGGACTTGACCAAAGTTGTTCTGTTTTGTTTTTTTAACTGAAAGTAAAAAAAGGACCTTTCTTAAATGTGAAAGGTGACCCTGCAGTGTGAAACTAAGGGCAGTGTTAAAGCTCGGCTCTAGTGTATTGATGATTTCTGTGTAAGTGTAAATATGCAAATGTATGTATACATGTATTTATAACTTTGGTTTTCCACATTACTTTTAGGTTTTAAGAGTCGCAACTTACAATTCTAGTGTGATCGCTTTGGAAATAACAGAAATATTAAGTACTTTCTACTCAATATCAGACTATTACCATGTTTGCCAGTTTTAAACCGCTTTATTTATGTTCATGCTCTCTAATTTTTTAAGTACAGTAATTAATATTAGGAAAAATTGCAACCCTTATCTTGTAATCATAAAAATCTTATTTGTACAAACATTGCACAGACTATTTTAATAACATGGTTTGTTCTTTAAATTTAACGCTTTGTTGAAATGTTCTTAAAGAGGATGAATATATCTACCTTTGGATCAATTATTTAAACATCGTATGCGTTTTATTTTTTCTTTTAAATTGCATGCTGATCTTATTCTACATTAGATTTGGTTGGAAAAACTAAAATTTCATATTTTACTATCTTAGACTTATAAATACTTAATTTTTAGTTCATTTGTTTTCACTTTGAATTTTAATATTTGGATGATATTCAGGCATTGCCTTAAAAATGATGCCAGATTAATTTTTATACATTTTAAATAATTACCTTTTTATTTATAACTAAGTTTAGGTAGATGATGAGAGCATTTTAGGATAAAAAATATGTCAGCATAATGAATTTTGAGACATTCATTTGTGTATTTCCCGTGGGAAACCCCTTGTACCCAGCATATATGAGAGCTCCTTGTTTGGAAGGTAACAGGAAAGATCTTTAAACATTCTGCTGGTGGCATCAGTCAGGCTTTTAATTCATATGTGTAACTAGTTTAATTTAATTATCATACTTTATTAAAATTACTTTTTCCCTTAGAATATTCAAATTTCCTCCACTTGCTTGAGTTTATATTATTTTTTTTTAAACTGTACTATTATTTCTGAGAATGAAACAGGCAATTACACTTAGAAAATGAGTAATAGTATTTAATAAAGTCAGTGATTGTACGTACGCTCAAATAAGTGTTACATATCAGCTAGATGTTGAACTTCAATAGAGTAATTTTTCTTTTGATTATTCATGATGTATCTTGTGACCTTGTTTCATCAAAATGAACCTCATTCCCCACCCTGTTTGCCTTTGTCACTCATTTTGAAAGAGTTAGCCTTTCAGTAAGCTTCGTGGGTAAGTAGTTTCTGAGTTTAGTCATGTACTGTCATTTTGTTGAATTTTTTTGAAGTGTATTTGTTGAAATATGTGTACGTGTGGGGGGGGTTAAACACAAACTGCATTTATATCTGTTTCATCTTGGGGATTTGTTTTTCTTTGTAATGTAAAGAAATTCAAAATTATCAAAATTCCTTAAATGTGTTGGTTTAGATTCTTTATGTGCCTTTCATGAAAGATATGTTTTCATTAATTTTACTGATGGTAGACCTGTAATACCCATATTGTGAAGCTATGTATGAAATTCAACTATACTGAATAAATTTGAATCATGAGAAATACAGTATAAAAAGCCACAAAGAAGCACATATTGGTGATCATAATTGATGAATTCCTGAACTTTACTCTGTGTAATTGTGTTACTAATAAATCTTAATAAATTTAAATTTTTAAAATTTTATAAATCTGTTGGCTGAACAGATATTTGTGCAGTAGGATTGAAGTGTCAGTGTGTACTGTGTTCATTTCTTCTTTATCGTGCTGTCTTCTTGCAAGTTCATCTGTTCTAGAAGGTCGACTTTCCCGGCCCCAGGACTTCTAATGAGACATGGCGTCACATTTGGAATTGCCTGCCTGCTCCCTCCTTCTGAGGATTCACTGCCTGCTCCAACGCGGTACACCCAAAATCAAATTCTCCCTTTAAACTAGTTCTCACCCACTGACTCTGCCATTGTAACTACTCAGTACCATCATTCATTTAACCCCTCACTGTGAACTTTCTTTAGCTGCTGGGAACTCTAATTAGCCCTCAACTTCCTCTCTGTTCAGCAACCATTTCTTCCAGTTCTACTTTTCCACTGCCTCACATGTGTGTTGGGGGAGGGGATGTTTGTTTCATTTTTCCTTTCCATCCCCATGGCCACCTACTGAGTTCAGGTCCTTGCTTAACTTTCACTTGAAATGGCTTCTTAATGAAATTCCTTACCTCCCATGTCTCCCTTCTCCAATCCAGGTTAGTTACCCTAATGTGGAACTGGCTGTGTATCTTCTGTGCATTAACCTGCATTAGCCTCCATTCAAGGCTCTTCATCATCTGAGCCTACATCCCCAGTCCTCTCCCACACTACATCCTAGTAGTGCTTTGTGCATAGCCGGGACTTTTCTCCAAACATACTACATGGAACTACCTGAGAGATGCTTGAAACAATGCCTAGAGCATAGGAGAAAGTGCGCATTCATAGCTATTAATGTTATTGTTTGTATTTATTAGCACTTTTGTTTGTGATACCTTTTTTAGATTCAGCTGGCCTCTGTCCTTTGAGCAACTGAATGGTAAGGCTGCCAATCACAGTTCTCATCTTCCTGGCCATAGGCTCAGGCCTGACCAGTTCTATGCCTTTGTCACTGGGTAAGTGACCCAAACAGAACCAATATCAGTCCACATTCCCATTCCTAAGGTTCCTAAAGCTATTCTGGCTTCTAAAATTGCCATAATTTCAGTACCAGTCTAAAAAACTTTTATGCTTGATGTCATTATTTAGGTCCAATTTCTTACTGAAAAGTCCTGACTAAAATGTGTATATTCTCACTGGAAAACAACAACTGTGATATCAAAAAAGGCTCAGAGGGGATAATTAACTGGAGCAGGATCAGATCAAGGTTTCAAACCTATGACTTGTGAATTCATGTCTGTCAGAGAACTCCGAAGAAGGCTACCTTAATCCCAAATGTGTAGTCATTTATCCCCACTCCTACCTTCTCAGTTTGTCTGAACCATACTTTATTTTAGATTACAGTTAACCTTGAACACATGTCCATTAATATATGGATTTTTTTCAATAAATACTGCAAGTATTTTCTCTTATAATTTCCTTAATATCATTTTCTTTCTTGTAAGAATGTAGTATAATGCATATATAACCTCCAAAATGTGGGTTAATTGACGGTTTATGTTACCAGTAAGGCTTCTGGTCATCAGTAGGAATTCAGTCATTAAGTTTTTGAGTAGTAAAAATTTTTATGTAGATATTTGCACAGGGTGTGGGAGGAATCAGTATCCCAAACCCCCACATTATGTCACTGTCAACTGTAAAAATAAGATAGAACAAACTAGAGGTATCAAACTCCCTGATTTCAAACTATACTGCAAGGCCTTAATAATCAAAACAGTATGATAGTGACATAAAATCAGACACATCAATGGGACAGAATAGAGAGCCCAGAAATAAACCTACACATATTGTTCAATTAGTTTGTGACAAAGGAGCCAACAATATAAAACGAGGAAAGGAATTCCTCTTCAATAAATGTTGTTAGAAAACTGGACCACTATGGTACATCATACACAAAAATTAACTCAGGATTAAAAATTAGCTCAGATTAAAAACTTCAACATAAGACATAAGACCTGAAACGATAAAACTCCTAGAAGAAAACGTTGGTGGTAAGGTCCTTGACATCAGTCTTGGTGATGAGATTTTGGAATAACATCAAAAGCAAAGGCACCAAAAGCAGAAATAACCAGGCTACATCAAACTAAAAGACCACAGAAAAGGAAACCATCAAAAAAATGAACAGGCAACATGCAGAATGGGAGAAACTATTTGCAAACCAGACATCTGCTAAGGGGTTAATATCCAAATATATATAAAGAATTCATAAAACTCAACAACAAAAAATGAGATTTTAAAGTGGGCAGAGGATCTGAATAGACATTTTTTCAAAGATCTATATACGCCAACAGGTTCGTGAGAAGATCACTAATCATCTGGATCAACATCACTAATCATCAAGGGAATGTAAATGAAAACCACAATGAACTATCACCTCATATTTTTTAGAATGGCTGTTATCAAAAAGTAAGTGTTGAGGAAAATGTGGAGAAAGGGAATCCTTGTGCACTGTTGGTGGAAATGAAAATTGGTGCAGCCATTATGGAAAACAGTATAAAGACTCCTTTAAAATTTTTAAATTGAATGACCATATGATCCAGTAATTCCACTTCTGGAAATATATACAGAAAAAAACAAAACTCTGTGGAAGAAATACCAGCATCCCCATGTTCGTTGCAGCATTATTTGTAACCAAGACATATAAACAACCGAAGTGCCCACTGATGGATAATGAGTGGGTAAAGAACACGTGAGAATGTGTGTGTGTGTGTGTGTGTGTGTGTGTGTGTGTGTGTATAAGCCTAAAAAAAGAAAATCCATTTGTGGCAACATGGATAGAACGTGAGGGCATTATGCTAAGTGAAATAAGAGAAAAGTAAATATGATTCTGCTTATATGTGGAATCAAAAATTATCCTCATAGATACTGAGAACAAATTGGTGGTTGCTGTGGTGGGGGTTGGGGGGTGGGCAAAGTAGATAAATGTAGTCAAAAGGTACAAATATCCAGTTATAAAACAAGTCACAGGGATGTAATGTACAGCATGTTGACCACAGATAATGCTGTATTGTATATTTGAACATTTCTAGGAGAGTAAATTTTAAAAGTCCTTATCACGTGAAAAAAAATTCCATAACCATGTATGCTGATATATGTTAACTAGGTGATATATGTTAACTGTGATGATCATTTTGCAATATATACAAATATTGAATCATCATGTTCACCTGAAACTAATAATGGTATACATAAATTATATCTCAAGTAGAAAAATAAAAACTTAAAAAATGCATATACCTCTAATAGCCTATTTCAAAGCTATTGATGTTATCTTAACATCCTTTAGATTTGAAGCTACTTAAGGGACAAACTATTATGAACACTTTCACATTATTTATTGTCTGTAGAACCACCCATGATGACTTGTGTAAATGTACTTAATGACTAATGTAATCAATATTACAGATATTTGTGTTGTCATTAGTGTGTTATTTCAGAAAGAAGTAGAAAATAGCAGTGGTGGCCTTGGCCCTGGTGTCTAATCTGGATTCAAATTCTGGCTCTAATCTCTTATTAATTGGGTAACCCCTGGCAAATTGTTTAATCTTGTTCTGCCTCCTTTTTATCATCTGAAAAACTAGGGAATAGATAATCAGACCATTAATCTTAATGGCTTTTGTTAGTATTTAATAAGTTTTCAATGCATGTTAAGCAATTAGAAGTGAGCCTGGCATGCGGTATGGTAATAACTTTTACTATTATTTTATTATAAAGACTACTTAATTTTGGGGGTGCCTTTAATCATAATCAGGCTTAAACAGTAGTTGTTTTGAGTTTTAGATGAAACAAAATATCTGTTATAATTTGTAGTTAAAGCTTCTGAGTGTCTCACATTGATACTGATACAGGAAAATATGATGGAGGGGAAAAATGCATCTCTTTAATCAACTTCAGGACACTTCTAAGTTATTTTAATGTAACTAAAAATATGGGAGATTTATGTCATTTTAAAGTTAGTTTTGGAAATTTTCTCTTGCAGTTTCTTTTCAAAAGCCTAACTTTCTATTTAAAATGCCTTTATATCAAGAGTTTTATATTTCACAACTCCATTGGCCTTTTTCCTGGGCATTTTTCTCGTAATCCATAACTCATTACTTTGGTGTCTGTTGTGACTTTTATTACTTCAATTTTTTAGTTACTCTAAAAGTTATGAAACATTTCAACAAGTCCAGAAACACCCAAATATGCACAAGTATGAATTTGCTGCAATCATGCAGACCAGGACTGAGGAAGTCTGGACTGGGGCAGTCCTACCATATGATAAATCTTCTCAAATACTAGAAATAAGTTCAAATATTTCCAGCTTCTTTGTTTACTGGCCATCTTCCTGGGTCTCCATACCAGCAAAGTGAACGGAACACTGCCATTGCAAGTAGTTCTTTAAACAAAGAGTGCACTGTAATTGATTCAAAATATGACAAGCAGAGCATGCACAGAAGATCTAAGCAGATTTTAACTGCTATTTTAGCAGGTGAGAGTGTCACTTTTAGTAAAAGAAGGTGCTATTTCCTCCTCAGTTGCACAGTGCTTCATCCAAAGGAAGTACTTGAAGTAGGACTCTTGAGAACCTAAGAATCAAGACCAAAAAAAAAATCCCTTTTCCATTGCAGTATTCATGAAAGGATTTTTAAAATTATTTTTATTCCTGCACAAACACACTATATATGTATTCTCTATCTTACCAGGACTTTAAAAATTAGATCTACAGTTTATTTTTGCAGTTTATTTTTACCAAATTGACAGATGTTTGTACAATTTCAGTGTAAAGCTAGTCTTGAAATATAAGCCATTGTGAAGATTGGCTATTACCTGGAATTTTCTAACACATTCTTGAATTTTAATTATTTTCTGTGAAAACTTTACACTAATGAAACCTAAGGTCCTTATGACTTCAATTAAATTTAGCTTTAAATCCTAGCTCTAGAAATTACTTCTCTCTTTCTCAGAGAGACCTAGCCTTTCTCCCAGATAATCGATTAGCAACCCCCAGGCAACAGAAGACCGTACGTAGC